GGGGGGTGCTGACCTAGAGCGTCCGTGTGTCCGAGCTGTCCGGGGGCCGAGGGCAGGGGTGGGGCCTGCCTGGATGCCTGGGTTCCCTCCCCCTGGATTCGGCCCAGCCCGGATGCCTGGGTCCCTCCCCCCGGGGTGTGGGAATGGGAGAGCGGGGGCGGGGTGTGCAGAGAGGCCCCAGACTTAGGTTCCTCTCTGTTGGGGGGGGTTAATTAACCTCTAGTTCTTAATCCCGCCTCCCTCCCCTGCTTGGAGCCAATCCAAACCCGCAGTGGGAGAGGCGCATTCCTGTCTGACATCACCCGCAAGGGAGGGAATTAAAAGTGCATCAAGGAGCAGCTGGGGGAAACTGAGGCAGAGGCTAGGGGTGGTGGGGGAGAAGACAGCTGGGAGGCAATTAACAACCTAATTAACCCCAATGAACGGGTAATGAATGGAGGGGGCTCCAGGACTTGGATCCAGCCTCAGTTTCCCTGCAGCTTCCCTTAGCAATGGGCTGGGGGGGGACAAGAACCTGGATATAGGGTGCAGGTCTGGAACTCATTAGCAGCCAGGTCTTCATTGCATGTCTTGAATTACCAATTAAGCTAGCACCCATGGTTAATTAATTACCAATCCATGGCATTTGGGTTCCAAAAGCCCTGGGGGGTCAATATGGGCGGGTGGGAGGCTGAAAGGGGAGTTGGGAGATACCTAACACCCTGATTCTAATTCATGTATTTAATTACTAATGAATCACCTATTTTAATAACCAATGGCCTTTAGCTTCCCTTATGAATGAGCTGCAGGGAGCAGAAAGCCCTGGCGGTCAATATGGGGAGGGGGCCGGGGATCTTGGGAGATGACTAACTAATTCATTTAATGTATTTAGTCACTGATTAATCACTAATTAACCAATTGATGGCCTTTAGCTTCCCTTATCCCAGAACTACTCCAGGGAGAAGCCCCAGGGGCCAATACAGGGGGCAGGAGGAAGTGACTGGGGGGATAATTAAGACCCTCTCCCTAATTAATTGCTAATTAGTCAGTGATTAGCAGGGGGGAGGTTCATGGATCCTGCCTCAGTTTCCCTTCTGGATGGGCCATATGGAGGGAGGGGGAGGGGGACCTGAAGCAATTAACTGCTTGATAATTAATCATTTGTGAAACCCGTAGTTAATTAACCTGTGCCTAATCAGTTAACCTCTTAATTCCCTGTAGTTTCCCTTACCGACCAGCTACATCATTGAATGAGGGGAAATGAAACACTGAGGCTTAATGGCTGGCTTGTTATATATCCCTAATCAATTAACCTAAATGACCTGGGATTCATCCCAATTAATTAACCTGTGCTTAATTAGTAACCTCTGGATTGCCTGTAGTTTCCCTTAACGACAAGCTACATCTTTGGGGGAGGAGAAATGAAGCATAGACCAATAAGAGAGGATGAAGGCGGAGCTGACAGTTGATGAATGATCTTTAATTAATTAACCTGAGCTTAATTAGTAACCTGGATTGCCTGTAGTTTCCCTTAAAGACAAGCTACAGCATTGGGGGAGGGGAAATGAAGCATAGACCAATAGGCTGAAAGTGAAGATGAGAAGTGATTAGTGATTTGTAATTAATAAGCTTTCCTCATCACCGGCTTACAGGGAATTAAATATGCAAATGCAACAACCTACATTTGCATATTTAATTCCCTGTAGCACACTGACGAGGTAAAGTTATTAATTCTCAGTTCCCTGTCAAGAGGAGGGGAAGGCAGGGCTTCCTGGATCAGGGAAGGCCCCTGATTGGTGGGGGGGGCAGGTGGGGCTGGCTGGTGACGCGCAACCCAGATCTGGCACCTGATTGGTTCTGGAGGGGGCAGGATCTGTGTTCAAGGTAGAGGGTTGAAAAAGGGAAGCTCCATTTGATTGGTAGTTGGGAGGGGGAGGAGTTTCCATGTCCCCGCCCCCTCCTGTCCCTGGTGACCGCTGGGTGTGATAAGCACCCCTTGTTTCGGGGGCATCTGGCCAAACCCCTAGGGACAGAGGTAGGGCTGGAAGCCATGTCCAGCAGAGATCCCCTGAACTTTCACTATGCATTTTAACCAGGGAACAGCTTTGTTTTGAAAAAGTAGTTTATCCTACCAAGGGCATAGAGTAGGTTGTTTAGGCTGGGGGAGATCGCTTGTTGCTTAGTTGTTTATAATTGCTGGCCGCGCTAGAAGGAAAAGCTGTATCAACAAAGTCCCGGGGAAGGAAGGGGGGTTACTTGGGGGAGAGATGGAAGCGGGGTTACTTGCTGGGCTTGCTACACATTTCATCACATCAGCAAGTTTAACCTGTTACATAGCTATATAAGGCAGACGCTCACTGGGGTGGGGGTGCTTGCTTTGTGAACGATTGCCAAGCACTGCTTTCTGCGCAGAAATAAAGATTAAGTTGGATCCTTCACCCCTGTGTGTTTATTGGCACAAGTGCACCGGGCACGAACTCACTGTCCTTTGGGGACAACAGGTGCTTATGGGGGTGGGGCCAGGAGGGCCAGGTCTCTAGAAACCCGTGGCTCCACTCACTCCACCTGAGGCCCCGCCTTCTCAGCCTGCAACTCCTCAGTCCAGTGACCCTGCATTGGGGAAGGGGCACAGGGGTCAGAGGGCACGGCCCGCAGCGAGGGGTGGGGCTTGGAGATGGGGGGGGGGGGGGGGTGTCGGTCAGGGCTTACCTGGGAGGAGCAGAGGTCGTCCTCGGGGTCGTTGCGGTAACCCAGGTGGGAGCGAATCAAGTCACCCCAGCGGACGAGCGTGTTGCAGCTATTGGGGGAAGGTGGGGGTCAGCAGTCGGTGTGGAAACAAGATCGTGCCCCCCACCCTTCCCCTCCACGTACCAGGGGCAGCAGCCCTCCACCGGCAGCAACTGATGCGGCTCGTCTTTTAGGAAGTGGCGTGCCAGGCAGGGTGGGTGAGCGGTCAGGGGGCAGCCTGGTTGGATGCAGCGGAGGGGGGCATCCACTTCGCCCTGTGGGTGGGGGGGAAGCGGAGGGAGCACCCAGGCAGCCAAGCTCCTAGCCCCGCCCCTCCATGACCCCTGGTGTCCAGGCTCCGCCCCTCCTCGGTGGGAGGGAGACCCCAGGTGGCCGGCTTACCTGGAAGTGCCCCTCGCAGAGCTGGCAAGTGCCCCCTGGCACGGCCGGAGGGGGCGGGGCTTGGTGGGCCAGGTGGGGCTGGTCAGGGAAGGGCCCAGAGGTGATGGGCATGTGGGGGGGCGGGGCCAGGTCAGGGAGTGGG